AAAAAATTATGGACAAAGAACTACTAGGAAAGTTTTGAAGAAGATTTTCATGCCAAAACGAAGTTACCTATATTTTAGCCAACCTAATACCAATGCATTCTTTGGGATTGCGTTTTACTGTGGTTTGGAAGGTATTTTTTCCAAGAAGGAATTCATAAATGAAACAGATTGTATGAGAAGCAAAATATGGATTAGGAGAAATTTGAGTTTATAACTTAGCTATAGGATGAATTCTGATGATTCGCTGAGGATGTGGCTGGTTTTTTTTTGAACTTGGAATGCGACGCATAATTTCGTTTCCAATAATTGTTGGTTGCAAAAGTACATTCATATAAAGCGGACTGATACTTTTCCGTCCAGAAAAAAATATGGCAGTGTATAAATTTTAAAAAAGAAAGATTTCATGTTGTAAATTTTTTACCAGGGTTCTTCCCATGTTTGCTATCTCTCGGAAAGCGTATATCTAAAAATATGGATTTTCAATTTGAGCGACCCCCTTTTATAAATTCGAATTCCTTTGCTAACCTAACAGCAAGTGAGCTTCACTATCTCAAATTTCAAATAACAGCATTTGAAGTCAATGTACATAAATGCAGCAAACAAATGCAAATTTCCGGAACATTTGCATGGGTAGAGCTAAGAACAATCAATGTCAAGGTCTCCAAATTCAAACAAAAAATACGGACTAAAAAAGTTCCGCATATGCTCCGAGGTAGTAGAGGAAAGTGCAACTGCCGAATTTCTAATCGAAGTCGTGATAATATTTGTTGCATGAGTTTCTTACTTATCTAAGCAATTCGAAGAAAAGAGCGACATGCATATCGCATAAGAAATAGCAATTTGGATTTTCTAATCCATTCTGTACTAGTAATTCTTGATTTTATTAGGTTGACGAATAATTTTTGTTATGTGTTTTCCGTGAAATTGTGAAAAATTTCCGTAACTTCCAAATATCTCCAAATTTGCCTCATACATAGGGCATGATAGGGTCTACCCATCACCATAACTGATGCCGCAAGTGCACAGATAACCAGCGAATTTACGACAGTGTTTCAGTTTTGCGCATAACCGTGGATGTGACAGTAACGATGGGTGGACCTTTTTACAGCGCGTCAACATTCCTTAAGCATAAGATTTCTCGAAAGTTGTTGAAATTTTCTCAAAAATAAAAATAAAAGTGTCACAGAAGCTATCCGCCAGCCTAATACAATCCAAAAAATTCCATTAAATTTGCTTCAAGACAGTGAAATGTGGACCATCATAGTAAAAAATTTTGTGTTCACTGTAAGTGAAAACTGACAAAGAACACCGGAGTTTTAATATTTTTTGCATGATTTTCACAGTGGTCGGTTTTGGAGCGAAGAATTAGATACGAGTTTATCTTAGACTAAGTCTTACTTCACTTATTTTTCTTTTTTATCTATTTAGAATTTACTTGTAGTATGTCTAAAGATACTTTGCAGTAATGTTGCCAACAAGATCCATCCCTGGGCTTTGCTACATCTCATTTTGGCGAGTTAATTCTACATGTATGGATCTTCTTACATCAAACACATCCAGTAAAGTCATTTGCTTCTTTTTTTTCATTTTGACCTCACGGCCGCCATAGAACATTGCACTATACCTAATACCCAGTATTTTTTCTCTCAACACGTGTGAATACGCAAAAATGAAAAAATCAGAGCAATTGGATGAATTTTATGGCCAAAAAGAGGACGAATGATACCGTGGAACAACAACGGAACCGGCAGCTATGTTAGTTGAGAATTGAATTCGCGACACACCAAAATCGCATTTTCAGGGAGAAACACGTTTACGAGCAGAAAATAACAGTGGTTATATGTGAGTGTGCAGGCAGTCAAAGACAGCAATAGAATAAGAACGACAAGCCCCCGTTTCTTTTTTGGGGTTGAAAATAGTATTGGTCCCGATGGTAATGATCTGACTGAATTTGGCATTGGAGGAGCAAGGATATGGAAAGTTATAGATGGTTCCAAAATTTTTTAGAAAGTTCGTCCTCCATAGGCTATGCTCTATATTGGTGATATACGCAAGATAAATGGTGCAGAAGCTTCCTGCACGGATAGCCTTTGTAGATAGGGGGGTTTGATGAGGGCAGAAAAGAAGCTCTAGAGCACATTCCTCATAGAGGGAGCACAGCTTCAATGGGCAATAAAGACGCTTAGACACTTTATTGCTGTGCTTTTGGTGCAAATTGGAAGAAGTAGCTTGAATAGTAGCTTGCACTTGTAGATATACTGTCTAGGGAGGCAAAGCTGCTAATGTGCTAAGTTTAGCTATTTTTAAACTCATAAATAATATCAAAAAAGTGAAGCTTCGAAGTCCGAAAAATGCAAAAAAAACAAGTATGTTTCTGCTCCAAAAAATGCGTGTTTTATAGCAGTTAAAACCTCACTTCCTTCTGACCAAACAACTGACAACATCCGTCACAGCTAAAGCTGAAGCTAAATAACATAATTTCAACCTATTGACAAGCACATTCCGCAAAAGGATGTCATTGCCAATATATCTACCAAATGAAACAGCGTCGATATGAAAAATTCATGGCAATCTATGCGACATGAACAGAAGCTTTGATAGAGGCCAGATAATGCCTGCCCGTCTGCTGGATCTGAATTTATGAAGATGGCTAAGGGGCTCTTCGGGAATGGGCCGACTTGAAAACAGAGCACAAATACATCTATAATTCTGCAAAGCTGCCCAACCACGGTTGCACATATTTCACCCTGATTGGCAATACATTCGCGCAGGGCATTGCAGCTTTTCTGGGACCCAGTTTTGATTTCTTAAAAGCAGCCTAAATAAAGGTTTGGCTCCAGTTGGCAACCGAGAAAATATCACTTACAATCTAATTCTTCGAGGTGTTCTGCCAGATAAATGAGTTCACTTGGTACATTCTAGCTTTCTAGATCAATTATGCAGGAAAGAAAGCTGCAGAGAAAGAGAAACATTCCTAATATTGAATGTCTAGAGAGCATTTGCTGCATTTTTGGCCAGATATATAGTCCGAACTCACAGGTCAGATGTGAAGAGGTATAAAAGCAGAGAGTCAAATTCTTGTTGGGAATCATATACTATCAGGGGATCCACATATTATGCAATTTTTTGCAGAATAGATTAAATTTAGAAATTGCAAAAAAAAATAAAATAGACATGATCGCTCCAGTGAGATTTATCTTGGATTTTTTTTTCAACAGAAACGTTTGTTAAGAGTGCAATTATTCACTGTTTTGTTTCTTTTTTTGCGGTGCCCCCGCAAGTGCAGCACAGTAATAAACAAATAAATAAATGTGACCGATGAAATAAAGGCTGAATGACGTATATTAATCATGTGGTAGGATCTGGAAAATTATTTCAGGCACAATGAATCTGCTTTCTCTAAAAAAACGCTTGAGCAGAGGTAACATTTACAATTACGGCCCGAAATACAAAACAATACCTACTTTCAAAGTCCACATACAATACCACACTTTTTTAAAAACTAATATCTCAATTATAATCGTTAAAAGGCTCTTTGTAGTAGTTGAGCCGGTTGACTAAGCACTATTCTTTCAGTTTCAAAATTTATGAAATTATGTTAAGCACGAATACCCAGTTTTCAAATCAAAATTGCAGTTCCCACTTCACATAAAAATCAATAATTGCAAATAAACTGTATTATTTTTGAAGATAACGTTTAAAAAATGAGGTAATGGGGAAAGACGTGTAAGAGATAGTGGAGAAAAGCCCGTACTATATGGACATTCGGAATGTGGTGAGAAACAGCAACAACTCACATGAATATTCTAGGGAATGTCGAAAAGGTATTGAAATATGCTGTAAATTGTCAATTCTATAGTAGCAACATGCAGTAGTAACATTTTAGTACTGATAGTATCTTATCTTTATATCTTTAATGTTCGACAAAATTTGACTGTTAATCAACCTTGGCATTTATATATGAATAACCTAATTAAGCAAGGTGGTATCAAGCACTAGGCGTAAGCCATTTTATTAATTTCCATACCACCTTGGTTAAGCGTAGACAAATTTACACAGTATTTTAGTTGTTTCACTCCTTTTACTTGATCCTGACTGGAAAGAATTAACTTTTTTGGTATCTAATATAGGTAGTGAATATATACTATGTATTATATGTGAGGTCCCCAATCAATATTTTGGTATAGTCCATCTATCAGCGGTATAAGATTTGTGTTTGCTGACATCCAGAATTGTTGCCTCTCTCACATCTCATTGGAATACGCCATACTCATCAAAGCAGCTGATTTAGACCATGACTGATGTGCAGCGTTTTGTGTTGAGATGCTTTGACAAGTCAGCTTTCAGTGTCCAGCTAAAGAATACTTGCTGACTAATAAAAAATCCGTAGTTGCAGAATTGATTAGTATTTCTCACTTCGACAGGGTCATCCGTCAAAGTTTCGCGGCTTGTGGCATTAGAAAAAGCTAAGAGCCGTATTCACAGCTCGCCGCCATTCTCAAGTGTCCGTCATCACGTATAAACGAATTCTAGGAGGGCGTGTACGTCAAGTTTGAAGTTTTCAGAAAGCAACATTTCGCACCTTAAAGTGGGCTCGATTGGCCAGGCAATTACCGCTTTATGAAGCAAAGAGTAAGAAAAGTAGGCTAAGCTGTTGATATAGATCGTTACTGCTTAGAAAGACATAGTACCTATGGAAGATTAGTAGAGATAAGCAGTATATCCCGAGGTAAAGAGGCATTTTTCCGTGCCTCGAGAAATAATTACCGCGTGGAAACAAATTGTCACTCGTCATGTAGCATTACGAGATAGCTCCAAGAGATTCGAATTACATTTAATGTGACATCTAAGTGATCTGTGGGATTTCGAGAGAGTCTTTGAGTGTGCAAATTACGCTGCGCCAAATCCGCAGCGCTTGCGAGTAAGAAGCTGAATTTTCAATGAAGTGTAGGAATATGGAATTTTTGCGGAGCAAAAGCTAGAGAGGATGAGATTTACCTCTATCCTGAGTCTTTTCCGGGCATAATTCGGCAAGTTCGCTTGGCGATCTGAGGTGAACTTTCTTCGTGCCGGAGGGGAGCACTGTAATCGTCATACGACGAGCGTTCTCCTCGAGCGTCCATTGGTTCCAGAACTTGCGTAGGAACATACAGCAAGCCTACAGAGGCGCTTTGGGACGCCAGCACTGCAATCCTGGCTTTCACGTACGGGATCACTGTGAGAGGTACTGCAAGGCGAATGTGGATGCTTATAGAAATGGAAAAGGCAATGTGAAGGGTTGAGCACAGAGAGCTAATTACGCTAGAGAGCAAAAAGTCGAGGATGTGGAGGGTGGAGGTCCGGCCGACCGCCGCGGCTCCAGTGCCAATAGCCGGGCGCCGCGCGCAGCCGACGACGCACGAACAAAGGAGTTGGCGAAGGAGGCCACACATATCATTGCACTGATTAGCGGAATGAACAGAGCGCATGCGCGTGCGTTTGACACGCGTCCGACGAGCGCCGGCCGCTGCAGCAGCTGAAGGCAGCGAGCCGCCCGCTTGAGAAATGACCGTTTTCAATTGATATCGCGAGTGGGTGGCGTTGAAATGTCAAAAACAGCGGCAGTCTGAGCTGTTGCTGAGTTAGCGGCGCATATGGCGAGCATGCACCCCAAGCTGAGAGAATCTTCTTCGCCTATTGACCACTGACATAGGAGGACGTAAACATAAATAGATGCCTTTTCGTCAGCCAATTTGCCAAGTTTGCCGCGAGGATTTGTGCTGCTGCTACTGCTGCTGCTGCTGGTGCTGGTGCTCGTTCGGAGCGCGGCCTGACTGATGCATGTGCTCTTTCATGTACGCACCCTGACACACACACATCTATACACGTGGTTGGTGCGTTCGGTTCGGCACACACACGCGGTGCTGAAGAGAGCCAGCCAGTCGGCGGCCGAAACGAAGATGGGGGAGCCGGGAGGATGTCAGGAGGATGTGCAGGACAGCAACGTGTGTTTCGAACAAAACGAGGTGCTAGTTCTCGAATTACGCGCCATGCCCAAGATGGGTGCCGTGGGGCAACGCATCCACCGACGACAAACACCTTGCCGTTGAACAGATCTGATTTGCTGTGCAACGATGCAGAATTTAAACGGATAACGCCGAAAAATGCTGGTCACAGGGGCGCAGCTACTACAAAACGCGCTCTGCAGCGAAGTCGCCATGCGCTACCGTAACCATACTGGCGCTGGGGCGCGTAGTGCGCGGAAAGGGCAATAGCTAATTTGACACAAGCACATTCCTGCCGAGCTTTCACTAATAAGAAGTACCGAAAATTATATCAGAACTGTACAAAAATCCCTGTCCATACCTGTAGGACGTGTTCGTGGTCTCTGAACATGTATAGGCAGTGGATTGAACACTGCCCACCCGATCGGGTTGTCAGCCGGCACGATCAGTGAAGACGGTTGCATATCGTCGCCGACGGTGACTCCTACACCGTACCACTGTGGAGGGCAGAGATGGTGCGAATATTGTGTAGTAATAAGCATATCAGCCAGTGTAGTTCTTCGAGACATTCTCGAACCTCGGCGATCATCATTTGTCAGACGCGATTGACGTCGTTCATCCATCAGATGAACGCTAACCGACTGTAGCATCGTTAAGGTAGTAAATAAGTGTATTAGGAGTGTCGAACTTCGAGTGCGTAGAGTCAACTGTTGCTGTCGATGTGGCAAGAATAAGCCGTTTTTCTCGAAACGCAGCTACTCCGGGGGTCCCTCGACGACGATTTCGGAGCTGTTCATTGCTTGGAAGCTGCTGCGCGAACAAGTGTGTCAGGCCATAGTGCTTATATTGTAACAAAGTGTTTACGATTACTTGGTACAATTACTCCATGGGGACGTCTTGTCAAATTGGGAGGAAATAATCTTGATAGCACTATAAATGCACTAGCAAAGAGGTCAATATCATTTATAGTCGAGTGCGGATGGCCAAGATTGCAAAGTGAAGTGGAAGTCGCTGCGTATCTGGTTACATTCAAAATCGAATAGTATTTGCTTCATATAGGCAATATTTGTTTGTTCTTGGAATTTTCTGATCAATGGGCTCTGTGAATATAGAAGATTTGAGCTTCAAAACCCTTTAGAAGCTCCCTGAAATATCTTCCCTTCTGGACAAAAAACGCTTATCCGAGATGTGCCAAGCTGAACGAATTTCTTCTTTTTTTCCTCAATTTTTCGATACAAATCGCTTTCCGAGGATGCAGACAACTCATAAGATCCTTTATGCACCAATTCTGAAGCGTAGAAGATATTCTTTGAATAAATATAGACCCCCTCCGCCATGTGGGTCATTCGCTGGCAGTGACGACTACGACACCCTAGGGTATTTGAGTTATCGAAATCATTTGCGAGGTGGGGCTTCTAGAGGGCAAATTTTTTCGTCGTAGAGCTGCTTGAGGGACAAAAAATTCTAGAACAAGATGGTACAAGTGCTAAGACAAACTCATATGCCTTAAGTGAAAAGTACTCATCAAAAATCCGAACCATAGCCACCACTTACCGCAGAAATTGATGAGTATGGGAGATTCAAAGGTCAAAATCCTCTAAAGTTCCCTAAAATATCATCCCTTCTGGCCAAAGAACGACACGAGACGTGCCGCGCTGGGAAAATTTCTTCTTTTTTCTCTTGATTTTTCATACAAAACTGATCTTGAGGATAACAACAACTCATAAAATCTTCTAGATCTCGAAATTTTTCGTCGTGGAGATGCTTGAGGGACAAAAACTTCCCGAACAAGGTGGTACGAGTATTAGGACAAACCCATATGCCTCAAGTGAAAAGTACTCATCAAAAATCCGAGCCATTGCCTCCACTTACTACGGGATTTTTCTTGCCTATTGACCTTTGACGAGCGGCCACGTTAGCCTCGGCGCGAGTTCTTCGCCATTGAACGACAGACAAAGCCGCGAATTTCTCGGTTAGTGAAAAGCCGACGTGACGCAAAGTCATTTGTTATGTCAAGTTCTCATTGTGAGGTTTCGCATTCGAAAAGGATCGATACAGACTTCCTTCATATATGGCCAAAAATAGTGCACGAGCACCACGGGGGAGTTATCTTGGGGCTTTTCTGCGCGATGTCACTTCCAAAATTACCCCGTAGAGTATCACTGAAGTGATTCACGTCAAAAAACAAGACGAGTTCTGAAAAGCCGAAGGACCTGAAGGCCAACCGAGACGATTCATCTTCATCCTTCTATTTCCTCCTTCCTTTCTACTCCGTGGTGTTTCCCACCTTCTCTCCTCAGTGAATCCTCCCCCCCCCCCTTCAACCTCCTTTCTCGCCTCAACGATGCTACCTAACACTTTGACGACCACGCGCACTTTTAGATGTCTGGTTTCTGGGACCAAATCTTCGAGGATCTTGAATTTTGTTTTTCAGATAGTGCGCGCTGTCATCTACAGTATACCTACAGTAATTCCTTAAGGCTGCCAAAAAACATGAAAATTTCTAGATACGCCGCTTAAGGTGGGTTTGCGGGGTGAGCTTATCCCAAAGTATTCGTCACTTCGAAAACATTCAAGCCGTGGCGCACCATGTGTCTCACGTGATCCCATAATAAGGAGTCATCTAAGATACATCATGTGTGTCATTCGGTCGTCAACGTATTAGGCCTTGGTCACCTAACGCGTTTCAGTCCCCAGGTGATTTGGCAACCCGCCAAATGTCTTCGTATCCATTACAAGTAGTTTGGAAACACATAATATAAAAACCTTGTAAGGTGATAGAATACACTACACTGTAGATATTCGAAACGTATTTAAAAAGAGATGCAAACTTCTGGAACATTGCCAAATAGCTGACTTTGGGAAGCATGCTCTTTTGTTTCTACGTAGTCTAACAACAGAGGAAAGTAGGATGTCTTAAACTTATGCCAAATCTGTTCCGAAACAGCAATTTTATGAAACATAAAGCTATATGTGGGATGGAAAAATACCACTGATAAATGTTGATGCTCTAAGACCGGAATGATAACAAGAATCGCTCGGAACGGGTACAACTGAACTCGAGAACGCTCGGCACAATTGCGCCAATCACTGGCATTATGCTCTGGCAAAGTTCTCTTCGAAAGCAGCTTCGGAAAGAAGAATTCGCGACACGAGATGCACATTTGGCAAGCATCACTGGCTAATCTCAATAGAGAGGTGCTAGAACTCCCGACTTCCAGGAATTGCCAGGAAATTCCACAAAACATAAGTGATAAAACGTGCAGAAAGTGATGAGCTTGCCCTCAAAACTCGTGAAAAGCATTGAAACAGCTGGTGGCATGTCTATGACACCCCAGTGGCTGTGAAAAATGGTGTGAATGCACATAAACCTTAAAGAAAAAAGTTCAAGCATTCAGTTGGGGCTCTGGATTCCAAGGAGGCACGCTAGGATTGCATCAACTCTTTCAAAAGCCATGCCAATACTATTTGCGACTAGCTGCGTGTAAGATTATTGTTTAGCTAAAGCAGTAATTTTTTGGGGCTGAGATAATTATCACGCACAAGCCAACAAATCTGAAAAACTGAAAATCGCAGAAAAGTGCAGGAATTTGGAGAGTAAAATGTCTCTGAAATCGAATCCTTCCATGTGAATCTTATGTCAACATTCTAAAGGAAGCCCATCAGATGACCACGCTTTGCTTCGAAATTTTAAGCGGATGCCAGTAAAATATTGTGAATGATGGAATTGAAATCGAAAACCTGATAAAACCAGATTTCATCGTTGGCGAAAATCCGAATAAAATGCAGAGAATCAATGCTAGCGGTCTTTTCATGTGCAGTACGAAAGGGCGGGGAAGGAAAAGACGAAAAAATGAGATGTAATATTATTCACAATGGGTATAATTGCATGTTCGCTTACGATTGCCAAATGCTTGTAATGGGGCTGTACTTTTTTAGAGAAAATTTTATAGGCAAATCAAAATAAGGAAGTTGACATGACCATGCATCTCAGATTTCATAATAATCTCAAAGAATCGTGCTGGATTATGAAGTCAAGCTGAGTGAGAATTTGACCAACCAAATTTACATTTTATAATCTCATTGTTATTCAAGCTATTTTTAAACTTAATGTGAATCAAAACCATGAGGGTTTTTTCAGTTCAACAACGATTATTGCTTAGAGAAATTGTGCATTTTCTCTTTTCCTCTAGTAAACGGCACATGCATAAAGTGAGTGCTCACATTAACTGGCAAGGAATCCATGAATCTCATGACAGATAGCCAGTTTCCTCTTCTATTGAAGAAGAACCATAGGAGTTTTTTGGAGGGATTTCGGAAGATGGAGGTAGTTCTAGAATAGGCACAAATGCTGGACAATATAAATTTTTGCCAAAAAAAATCTTTGATTCTTGCGACCAGACTTTGCTTGGATGGATATACAAATTGAGCTAAATTTTAGCAATACCATGAGGTTTTTATATAATTCAGTAAATATAACTTTTAGAAGTCCCACTTCCATTTGGAATAAACTCTCCGTATAGTAGATAGGCATCGGTTATACTTGGCGCGATTTAACCAAATTGCAGTCGCCGCGCGATTTGGTAACTTGCCAGATGTCTACAAATCCACCGCTCAAGCGAATAGTGTTTGTAAGCCGATGCACATATCAAGTCCTATTTATATTAAGTGCTCTCAGAAGTGAAATATAAGAAATTTAGATGATACTGATAACATTGGGTAATAAAGCTCTCAAGCCCAAGTCATACCTCATGCGATTTCGCTCGCAAAATCTGGCAATTTACCAGATGTCTTCAAATTCAATACTGGTAGACCCTAAAAGCATAGCCAGTATAACTTTCGTAGGTTGATAAAATGCTCTATCTTCCAAACATTCAGAAACCCCTTATGATAAGCTATGACCAATCGGAGTATTGCCAAATCGCTCGCGACTGAAGATGAGGTATGCCCAGGGCCCAAAGATTCCGAAAAATCCTAACGATGTGAAGTCGCGCAACGAAAATCGCGCGAGGTATAACCGGTGCCATTAGATGCAGTAATGGACGATTTGAATAATGAAATTATAAAAAATACCCACAGGAAGAAACAGGCGGTCCAAACGGTGTAAACTGTAGAAGTAGCGGTGTGCGCGATATCGTAGGTAACTGCTTGGCCTTGTTGGCTCGTTGAGACAGAGCAGCTGAGAGCGGATCAGCTTGTAGAATCGAATCGCGCATTCCACGAAGCGCCCAAGAGACAAAGACAGGCGTCCGAAACAGATATTTAGGGGGGCAAGAAATCACTATTAAGATTCACTTGTGCTCTGTCCAAACACAACAGTGTTTACGCCAAAAACTGGGGTCGAAACTTACTTCGTCCTGTTGTTTGAGTTTCTTCGACATTTTCGAGAGCGAGCAGAAAAACGCGGATGTGGTGGCGTGCGGATGTGCTGTACCAGCTAGCTGGCAGCGCCAAATATGAATATGGCAAAGAAAGCTGATTAGGCTTCAATGAGCATGTTGTCTCTCTATCGAGGCCTGAGTACCAGCAGCAGAGAGAGAAAGAGACGAATCGCAGCCGAAGTGCTGCTGCTGTTACTCGGCTTTTGCGCGATTCTGCACATCGCCAACAATCGCCAGCTTTAGCTGCTCTCAGCATTATGCAAAATGCTTTTAGGCTACTGATGCGTGTATTCCTACGCTGTGATGCGAGTGCGCTCTAATAGGTCGTGCCGTGGACGATTCACTACGCATTCATCTACACTCACAACGACTTGCTCTGCTCACCTTGAATATGAATTTGAATATGAAGCACATTGTGAGGAGTTTATATCTCTTAGCGATGGTAAGGTAAGCCGACAAGGTAAGCCCGTGGCCAGTGAGGGTAATGAATATATGCGTGGACCCCCTGCTGGTGACTGGCCTTTCACTAACCTTGCCGTGCTAGGTATGGCATCAAGACGAACTAGCCCAAGGGATGATTAGGCCTTTATGAGCAACTGACTACTAAGGCAAAGGGAAGATAACGCGCTCTAGTAGTACTTAGCAAAACTTATTACTGCCATACCGCGGAAATCAAGGTTGATAGAGACAAACAATTCGATCGCAGGTTTCTAAAAATCGCAGAAAATGAATGTCTGACAATGTGTGACAATGTCTTTTGGTGCTTCCTTATAGTTCGGATTTTGTTTGAAAAATTTCTTGATATATTCAAATTATCACTGAATTAACATATACTATACTATATATTTATTGTACAGAAGAATCATTTGTAACTCAATAGTGTGTCTGCACACTACGCGCACTAATCTACGTCTCCCTGATGATTTGTCAGTAAAACGCTTTCCGGTGGATCAAGGTATTTGAATGTGTACTACCATTTTTTACTTATCTAATAAAACTACACTGTAAAAAAAATAAGATGACGAAGAAGATTTTCCACAACATCTAATCATAGAAGTCGTGAAGTAGTGCGCGAGTTGTGCAGTATGCACTAGGTTGAGAAATGAATCGACTTTACTTATTGTTAGTAAATACGCATTGCCGTGTACAACAGAAAATTTTATACGCGTGTCTATTTGAGTAATTCTGGGTGACTTTTTGAGAGTATTCTCTGTGCAAGACATATGCAACAATGTGATACCTGCTGTATAATTACAGAGCTTATACTTCCCTAATACATTCGTTGCGAGACCTTTATTCGGAAAGCTATAAAAAGGCAATGAGGCTCGAAGCAAACTTTGGATCACCGATTTCATGTATGTTTTGCTTACCTGTGAATATCATTAGCAGTACAACAAGAGCAGACCACGCTGCTTATCATGATGTCATGCTAAAAGCTGTATGAAAAAGACAGATGAGCTAGACTAATTCAAAAATTAAATTTAACTGAAAAATAGCGAATAGATTGAGTGGATAAGGGGGGGCAATGAGAACGGAGTCGGACGACGAAAATGGCTAGACGAGAAAATTGTAGAAGCACTACTCAAAATTGAGATAGCATGTCAGGGCCGTGGTGTGCACTGGGAACGCCGGAGGGCATATTGGTGATTCTTGTATGATAGCCGTGCTCTCGGGCTGCTCTGCTCGACTCCAGAGAGGCTAATTTGCGGGTATTCAGACGAGTTCATGTTCCGACGCAACATATTATAGCCGTCAATCGACACTACAATACGAGGACGTTACTGACGTTGTCGAGCAAGTCATTTTCATCTCACAACATCGTCTCAGTTCGACTAGGGTGTTTAGCTGAGGTGAGATGCTTTTCGCAAGTTTTTCCAAGTGTCTCATGCAAGTTTGAGTCCTTTCTCGAGTATGCATAAAAAATTACTCTACAAAAATAGAGAGAAAAATGGGCAAAGAGCTGAATTACTCTAAAAAATAGAGAGAAAAATGGGCAAAGAGCTGAATTACTCTACAAAAATAGAGAGAAAAATGGGCAGCCCAGCGTAGAGAAGATCAATGGCGCGCAAAATTACTCCAATTACTTCTTTGCAGAGTTCACAGTCGTTAAGCTATAATTTTGACTCTGGTATGAAAAGGACATCCTCATTTCATCTCATCCAGTAAAAAGAAAAAGTTATTTCCTTCTTTCGGCGCTAAAACGCATACGGGATTCTTCAGATGGGTTGTAAAGAAAGTTTTCGAACGTTCAAGATGAATTTGGTATTTCCAAGGATTTATTACATGTACAAAAAAGTGCAGATGTATTCTCCTATATCTGTAGTATTTGTTCGTATATGTGGGAAGAATTTGGGGTCAAAGAAGGTGGAGTTTGCCACTTTTTTACCCCATTTTCTCGCTTCTTGTACATACAGCATTACACTGCGGTCTGTTTGACCAGTCCAAATATTTTAACTAACTCGTTACCTTTCATTATAAAAATGGTGATAATTAAATCAAAGAAAACGTCTTCATTACTTAAACTTTTAACTCAGGCAACAAAATTTGAGAAAATCACATAGATTTACAAAAAAATAGAAAACAACATAATTTAGATCCCCTGGTCTCCTTCCTCGCTGACGAGTTTCTGGAAAAACCCGAAGATTTAATAGCTTGTTTAGGGAATGGAAAACAGCAATGAAATAGAATATCTTGACAATGCAAATCAGTCTCAATTCAGTCCCAAACTCAATATCATAGAGAAAAATTTTGTTCTTAGTTTTAATTCTATTCGATCAAAATATTTTTTACCTGTTCCTGTCGTTGGAGTTAACGCCACACCTTCCGTTATTGTAAGAAGTGTCGGGAACGGTCGTTTAATCGTATATTTTCTAGCAAGTCGACTTCTGCTCAAGTCCATATCTAATTCCCCCGCTACGAATACTGACATCTACAACACTGTGTTTTGAATGGATTAGAATTCAACATTTCAAGGGATTCTTGATGATGGCATCGGCAAAGTAAATGGATTGTGCATCATCAATAAAAATCAAATTTGAAAAGCATTTTTCAGTTATTAGAGGAATGAAGATTCGTATAAAGTGGAAATAGAAATCATGAAAATTGCAGGTTGAAATAACAGCGTTAATTTTTCTTTCCAATAACGAAAAATTCTGAAACTGGATTGTTAAGATCACAACAAAATTAAGCAGAGAAAGTAAGGTTTACTTTCAGTTCTTGAACTCTATTATTCGTTGAAAAAAACGAAAGGTAGAATTCCTAACGATTTTCTCATTGAGGGCATCGAATAATGGACTTGTTTCATGTAAGTTCGCGATAAAAAAAATACTTTACAAGTAAAGCAATCCTCAGCACTTTAGATAAATTTGTAGAAGCCAATCTTGCAATTTTCAAGACCTTTAGATTGGTTCAAAAATTTTGCTTGTTGTAGTTGAGCCTAATAAAAAACAAATGGCCCTCCAAATGCTACGATTAATTTCCAAGCCAAGGACTGAGTGTACAAAGTGATTGTGTTCGAAAATCAAAGGTATTCAAGTAAGAAAAAATCAAAATTTTTTTGGGATATTGATCGTCATTGCTCAAAATGAACTATTGAACTTTGGATATAAAAGGAAATAAAAGAAAGATGAAAAGTTTTGTGATGGCTACAATAGCATATTGTTTAGAGTTTCTTAAGTGGCCGCTTCAAAGAATCTGTCGAGTGCGAATAAGTGCTTGTTCAAATTTGCGCGTCTTCAATTCATTGATGATCATCGCAAGTGCTTCTAATCTCTTACGAGCTTCGAAGCTATGGACGGGGGTGTAAACACACAAATGGAACATAAACTTTACTATGTTCAATAAGAGATTCATGAGGGACGAAAAAGCTTGAGGAGGCTAGTGCTAAGGATATCTGAAGAGTTAGAAGATAATGCAGATGCAGAAATGGCAAACTCTATGTTGACCTTTTTAGTCACCCTTCTTTGAAATGTCTGTTATTCCATTTCATCCTCTACTTTCTTTAAAACATAAGAAGTGATGACAATTGTGTACATGCACTACTAAGTGAAGGTTTGTCTTAAATGAACTTCTTGAGAAGTTTGCGCTTCAAAGCAAGGGCTTTTCACTTAATAATCCCATCGTCTGGGACAGGAATTTCGCAAAGGGTACTAGTATATAACAAATTTGTAAATTAACCTTTCCACAATAAATTATAAGTCCCAAACTAGATAGCGACATGCTTCCCGAAATGTTTAGTTCATCACTAATATACACATTTTGTTGGAAGCTCTATAGCTATGAGCAAAACGGCATAAGATCCCCTAATTTTCCATAAAAATCATTTTACCTGATTTCCATAAAAAATCATTTTATTCGAAATCCTTTCGCAGTATCATTAATATTAGGTTGATGCATAATTCCTGCACCAAAATAGGTACAGACCGCAATAACTCGAGTAATCCTATATCCCAAGTAGGATTCGATATATCGTTTGATAGCGCAAACCTAGCTCCACACGATGGTGCTCAAATATCTACACCAGCTTTGATCCACGCGAAGTTTTGAGCCAAAAACTGAAAAAAACCATGCGTCCGAACGCCTTGAGACAGATCTTAAAAAAATTGTAACTTCGTTCAAAAAGCCCATACAAATTTTCTTTCTTGCTTACGCGTAGACGTTCCACGTAAGACATTTATCTATGCGGTTGCTGTATTTTTTTCTCAACTAGACGATGAGAAAACGAAGTTTTTCATGTTTTTCCAAAACAATGCTGACATGTTCTAGCACTGACAGTTGTATAATATGGGTCCTTAGAAGCGTGAATGTGAATTTTCAGCTCTTTAGAGCAGCTGGTTTACGAGAAATATCGGATTTTTAGCAACTAGGCAAGAAAAATTTGGATAAGGAGAGCGTCGTTATTTCTCGCGAACTAGCAGTTCTAGAAGGCTGAAAATGTAAAGTTTCACTGCTAACGGCATGTACTATACAACTGTTAATACTAGAACATCTCAGCACTATTGGCAAAAACATGAAGAACTTCAAAAAACTTCGTTTTTTCATCGCCTAGTTGAGAAAAAAATACAGCAACCGCATAGATAAATGTCTTACGTGGAACGTCTACGCGTGAGCAAGAAAGAAAATTTGTATGAGCTTTTTAAACGATGTTACAATTTTTTTAAGATCCGTCTTAAGGTTTTCGGACGCATGGTTTTTTTCAGTTTTTGGCTCAAAACTTCGCGTGGATCAAAGCTGGTGTAGATATTTGAGCAATATCTTGTAGAGCTAGGTTTGCGCTATCAAATGATATATCGAATCCTACTTGGGATATAGGGTTACTCCGAGTTATTGCGGTCTGTACCTATTTTGGTGCAGGAATTATGCATCAACCTAATATAATGGTATATAAATTTGTCAGTACTCCACCCCCGACAGATGCCTACTGTATCGCTTGCCGTATTCCGTGATTACGGTAACTACATCAGAAAATCCGCTTTATCGAGCTGACTATACATCTCCTTGCAACTTTCAAACATATCTGCTCTACAAGAAGCTATGGCCAAATTCCGCAAATCCCGCAAACGCCGCGAATTCTCCAAATGCCTTGTATTCGACATACGTCAAATTCCATTGATAATTATTCCGTCCGAAGAATTAGCATAAGTCTCTTCCGCCGTTCAAACTTCAAAAAAATTACGCAAATACGGCTACTAACGTCTACTAAGGTTTTACTGGCCTTGGAAACGAAGTACCATCTCATAGCTGTGAAAATGCCACAACAATATGTTACGAAATATAGGGTACAATCTGCATTTTGAAATAACGAAAACCAAGAAAAGTACTCACCCTGGTTGAGAAGATACAAAAGTTCCAATGTTTCCTCTTGTGATAAAGGATAGTACTTGTGTCGACTCTGACGACTGCTAGATTGCTTTGATCTTGACGAAAGAAGAGGCGCCTAAATTGGAGAACAATTCGCATGAAAAACATTATGTGAAGTACACGTTATACAAAATTCGGGTGGACAATTTAAACAAAAATTACTAATTTTCAACTTTTTACTTGGTACTAAGTCTTCCTTCCTTACTGCGGAGTTCCGGGGATGAATTAGAAGTCAAGTCATACTTCGTCCAAGGGAAAGAAAGAAACGTACTAGGAGTAAAAACGTAGCAAAAGTATTTTTGTCTTTTACTAGTACTAGCTCATGATTTCCTTTTATTTGTAGAACTCCTCTGGGGTTCTATATATTTTTTCTACAGTTATAGCGCATAATGAAATATTTCTACAAAAATTCAACAAAAGCGTAGCTCCCATTCCACTCAAAACACATTTACCCTTAGTAAGGTTAAAAAAATGTGTGTTTGACAGCTTCGTGCCAAGAATTTTTCTATACAAAAAACCGCGAACCTAATCTTGTAACTAGTACCTTTTAAGATAGTACAAAGCAAATTCAAATTACCTTAGGCATTTAGAAGACAAAAGATGCTCCTGCAAGCTTCCAGTGGCAATGTTAACAGTGGTAAGGTTGACACAGAATTGTTTTTGGAGTATAATGTAAATTTAGACGACTTCAACTACTAAGAGAATAAAAGGTTTTCTTGCTCGTTTCCAGTTTCAAGATCGACAAAGCACTGAGTTTTTGAAACTCAAATATCAAGTGTTAGGCCAGACCTTAAGAGTGTGCCACAGCATATTTTAAAAACTCAAAAAAAGCATCAGATACAGTTCCTTGTGATCTAAACTTGGGCTCAGTATGTTATACCAATGCAATTAAGTCGTACAATTGAGACTATTTCGAACAAGAGCCAATACGATTGAAAAGTGAACAGATATCAGAATATCAACATTTTCTGGTAAGTACATAGTGTCGTAATTGTGGGAATTTTTGTCATAGAAAAGCATAAAAAGCCAATTATGCCAAAGGAAAATTAAGAATTTTTTTCAGCGTTTGTGCGATTAGCTTCAACAAAAACAATGCTTGTAGAATGGAACAAAAAGTTTTGCAAAAAATCAAACCCGGAAGAAAAGGCGGTGAGGAGCACAAATAAAATAGTGAAGTGAACAAAGTAAGAATAAATTTTCAAAATTACTACCTTTTCATAACCGATCTCATCCTGGCTGGCAGATCTTGTCAGAGGCATCATAGAAAGAGCACGAGGCCGTGTCTGCCTGGTTCGCAGCAGACCCTAAATATGAGAAAATTATTTTTTAAAAATTTGAAACGTATTCACCAGAGGTTAAACTATAGAACGTTTGACTAAGGTTTCAGAGTGCCTAAATTTATAGCCGTATTTCTCTTTCTGAGCAAGGCATAAATATCTTTATTTGAAGAAAAAAGAAACATACAAACCACAAAGCATCCATTTCTCTTTCTGATTCACCAAAAGTTCAAGGCACCGATGTTTTTTTTAGGTAATAACGCTATAAATCTTCATAAGTCTCTAACTGGTTTGGCAATAGGATCAACTATACAGTTTCATAGTCCTTATTACTACATAAGTAATTGGGATTATTCTTTTGCACTCTTTAAATGTAAAAAAGGAATAAATTGTACGATGGGAAGATAGCCGAAAAGTAGAATTGATTAAGGAGCAGACATTGGATTAGATTTTGAAAAAATTGATGGGTGCAGACTGAAAGGGTTCAAATTACACTTTAATGTCACTTAGGATTCCGAATACTTTTTCTTTGAAAAAGGTTTTGTGGCGAATAGGAGCATAAGTGAGAGCAATGATTTAGTTTATATATACATGGATGAGAGCGTTAATTCTGTTTGTTTTTGTGGGCGGACATGGCTATGTCGAAAGTTTTCCGCCTGTTGCAAGTCAAAGCACACTAGACACAATACTTTCACAGCTTCACTTCAAAGTAAACAGAAAAAAACCATAATCTCAGCCAGGCTAACTAGGAGTATTGCACTTACCAAATAATAGTAAACTATTGGCAGTAAGTGGTGCTGAATGGCTCATAAGAGAAGAAGCCGAGCCGCGAAGAAGACGAAGGCGCAAATCGCGTTTGCTCCGCGTATCTAATGAATTTACGCAAAACAACAACGCTAAATAAATAGGATGTGGAGTGCCGATAGTAGATTATATACTCTCAAGTATAATGAGTAATTAACGAAATATGATAGAGATTATTATTGACCATAGACGCATTGTTGGGTCTCGAGCTCATTCTAAAAGTTTATCAAAAACTTAGACAGGCCCGAATTTTTATGTAGTTGTTAAAACTGGATCAGCGCTCGGCCCAGCTGGTACAGGGTCAAGCTGAATATCGTTTTCGAGGCCAAAAAGACACACAGATTTTGTTTGAGTTTTTTTAGTCGAAGTTTCCTTTTTTAGGGTTTGTTAGGGTTTAGGCTCAAAGGGGACTTCGTAATTTTGGATAAGTCAAGGGGGACCTCATTTTGAGATTTCACTGGTGCCAGGGCCTGCCGAGCCATGAACTGGAGCGGGAAAATGAGAAAATAGTGGACCCTTTTGATTGCCGCGTTTATTTTTTTAGTCCTTAAAAAAGTCAAGCTTTGAAAATAAAAAATAAGTTTGATTATTTGGGAAATGCAGTGCTTGGCGTTTGTTCGTTTCGGTTTGTGATTTTTTTTTGTTTGAGCTAACCACTTTCGTTCTTTATCATGAGTGAATGAATCAAAAGAATTAAATAAAATCACAATTTGTCGTCAGCCATTCATATGAGATTTACTTTCGGTCTGTTGACCACAGCAAAATTTTAATACTTTTTATTCACTTGTTATTACTTTCGGATGAGAATGGAATATGCAAAAAATCAGCTAAAAAGTTTCATGTTTAGCAGAGCAATTTGAGACGAAATTTTGAGGCGAAAACTGCCCAATGTAAAGCGAAACAATCTCTTGTGAGAAAACCCAGGCAAAACTTTCGTCTTTTCCAAAAAAGACAACTTTTTGCCCCATCCATTCTAGGCACCCAATGACTTCCAAAAGTTGGAAAGTGCATGAATAAGGTATGCGCTTTTGAGCAACCATAATGGCAGTTTGTTCAAGTTCATGCTCCAATTTTACACAATGTTTACGTATGTGTTTTATAGCATAAATAACTTACGGATAAGTAGTTTAGAACAGAGCTACTGCTGTGAGAGATTTTCATAGATAAGAAGAATTGGATATTTTGAATCTACACTCGGAAATACAGACTTAGAAGTTCTTGAGTTTTAGTAGGTACGGACGTGGTTTCGAGAAATGTGGACATGTCTTCTTTGTTTGGATTTAGCACATTAGTCCATCAATAAAAGTAATGGATGTTATTATGGGCTTGAACAAAATACTGCAGCACCAATGTAAATATTGTCAGAAAACTCGAGTCACATTGAGTCCAAAGAGCTTTGGTATTTGCCTAGGTTTTCAAATTTGAATCTGGTGCTAACAATAACGGTTTGTACTCTTACTGAAAGTGTAATGAGCACAGAAAATTAGAAAAATAAAAAAACTTTTGAAAAAAGAAAAATTAAAAATTATCTCTAAGCAGAGAATGCAGGTTGTAAAAAATGATTTGAATTATAAGAATCCTTACCCGCATAAACTGAGCCTGCAGCTACTGCTGAAGTAAACAAAAATTGTAAAACATCGACAAATGTCAATTATTGGGTTAAAGTATGAGTCTAGCACCAAAAATTTCGAAATATTCATTTGAAAATGCTCGGAGCAGCGTTTCAATCTGTATATCACTTCTTCATTATACGATATACGCAGTATTTTATCGTAACAGCATTATAGATTTTATTTCAAACAATATTGAAAAATAAAATAAAAATTTGAAATTTACAACATTTCATAGTAAATACGTCCAATCGGCATCTTTTTTGAGTAACATTCTGAGCTAATACACAAGTAGAAAATTTATGAAAGAAAAACTTGGCAAAATGTTCGGCACTATTGTCCGAAACGATAGGATTACAGTGAACTTACAATTAGTTAGATATTTCGAAGTAACAAAAATAAAAAAACCTGCAAAATGACTAACTCCACAAAACTCCCCAATATATGTAAAAAAAAATTAATTACATTTTCACGGTGCTGATGTAAGCACGAATAAATCCACTCAATATCGACATTTTAGAGATTTTGTATAGTACTTGACCTCCAGCTATTTCCCACCCAGTGCAAGATGAGTGTCTCTTAGGAATGCCCGTATTATTCGTCTTCCTCTCTCTTTTTCAGCATTTAGCCTTTCAGCCGAGAACAATTCCCTGCGCAAACGAATGCATTGGGTCGCATTTTATGAAAAATCAAACTTTTTTGCATGCAAAATTGTCAGGAACCTACAGAAGTTAACAATTACTTTTTCGAACATAGAATGTGGGTAGCAAATCAAATTTTAGGTCATTCTTAAGGAACAGATTTATCGTGCAAATTTGTCATGTAAAACTTCCAATCAAAATCAAATAATGAATCCGGAATCACGAAAAGGACCACACATCTTTTTTCCGAGAAATTCCAGTCATACACGATCAACATACACTAGCTACAAGTCTCCTCAATATATGCCATAACTATTAATGACAGCTACAAATCAAAAATAACATACCTATTAGATTTGGAAATATGGGAATCAAAACAGTCGTTTGCATACACCAAAGTATAAGAATGTTAAACTTCAAAATTTTATTGTTGTCTAGTCGGAGATCTGCGTTGAGGATCGTGTATTTTCAGATAAAGAATAGGGACAGGTCAGCTATATGGGAGAAGAGTGGCATGAATCAAAACTTTTGACAATTGTCGAAGTGAAGCATATTGAAGCGAAATTTTTACAGCTCGCTGAATTTTCATGAGCAAATTTGCGCAGTGCGTGCAAGTCACTTTAGTCGCTTGAAATGTAAATCTAGCAGGAGTATTTATAGAATTACTAGAAATATTTGGGACATAGTGTAGCTAACAAATAAGTTTGCAATAATATTGTTGTAATGACTCAAACAGTATATCACTGCAGGGACAAGACTAAGCATGAAATTTGAGATGACTTATAGGTGTTTCGATTGAACATAGTTGATAGTAAGTGTAGTGGTAAAAACTTTAGATGATTTTTGTCAACTGTATAATCATGACTTAATCAACTGACATAGCCGATAAAAAATAGTGTAATTTCCGAAGTAATCCAAGTAAAGAATGTGTAAGAAAGTGAAAAATACTTAATTGTACTGATTTTTATCCAACAGTAGTTTCTAACAAATTCTGCCTTCTGATCAACAAAGAAAAATGTTGAATCTCTAAATAATCATCAAATTTTGCAAGCACACTATATTTGCTATATTTACGCAGGCAATTTTTCGACAGTAGTATAGCTCCAAAAAATATTTGACTTTGAATTTTTACTGAGTTCGTGAAGAATCGTTAGCTCACGCCCACTGAACAAATTATCTATTCACACACTATGCGCTCTAGTCTACAAACAAAGAATCAGTAATTGTTATTTTTTTGCAGGACTTATGTTGGTGCTGTTATTTGAAGAATTTCGCTTTAGCAGCAATGTGCACTTTTATTATAAGGTATTAGTCCGAACAGCTTACTTATTTTCGTTTGATCCCATAAAATCCAAAAAAAATTCATGTATTATGTGATTACATATCTAACTACTTGGGATGGTTAGGCATAGAAAGGAAGGTGAATAATTTGATTCTGAAGTTCATTTAGTTCATCCCATAGACTTAGCATCGTGATTTTATGCATAATATTTTGATTGGCTTGCAGTAATTCCTATGTCTCCCCAAATTATGAAAATGGATTTTCAGAGGACTCGAAGATTAATGTCTTAGCGTTTCCTAGTTTGCTCAAATGATCCGCGCTTTTTATTCTAGGAACTATTAGCTTGGCTATTTTGTACATTGCTATTAGATGATAAGCAAACAAATTCCATTCTAATAAAGTTCTATAAAACACTAAAATTGATGTTTTTCCTTCTCCTTTGCCACTTCCAATTCAAGTCGCTTTTCGCTTTTTGAAACATAAAATTATTTTTGAGGGGGAAAGGAAAACACGCTGAGTTTTTGATGAACCTCTTCTGCCCCTATCAGCTCTCTGCTCTTGCGGCATAGGTTCTGCAGTTTTGCGCACAAGTAAGACTCGCGGTTAATCCTTTGTTAATGGAATTGAGAGGCGGCTCAATTTGTAAAGAGCTGAAAAGAAATTTCATATGAAAAAGTCTTTTAAAACATA